CCGGAGGTGGAGGCGGCGCGGAGCTGGGTCGCGCGCACTCCCTCGCTCCCGCCGCTCTCGCCGGGCCCCTCCCGCAGTCTTCCGCTAGTCAGGTCTTCCCGATGCTCAGCCAGACCAACGCGCACCATGCTGATTTGCTGCAACTTGCAGCTTCCTTAAGCCACTTCCACTTTAGCCATTCCATTGATCCAAAATAATTTATAGAAACGTGATTATGTTCATGGAAACATAAATGTTCACCGATAGGGATGACGTTAAATAAATCATATGATAGCCATACATCTGAACATAATGCAACTATTATAAGGTCTGAGCTATGGATATTGGAGGAATAATACACTGCTCAAAAAAAGCAACATACATAAATTTTTGTTATATCCAAAGTTTAAACAAATAAACCCCTAGAATATATGCGTGCTTATAGGAAACAGGATGGTTAACTGAACTGCAGTTACGTCTGAGGGCGGGGGTGGTGTTAGCCAGTAAAAATTTTATGCAGGTGGTTTAGTTGATTTGAGCTCACATTCATAACTGGAAAGACAAGTGTTTAATTACATGTTTGTTATCATAACTTTTCCAGTGTTTTTTGAGGTGACCAGTAGAGCTCTGTCTTAGACAGTGATGGGTTATTTGATGGGCTTCCTGGGGCCAGTTAATCTCACACCCTAGCCACGTGCATTAACTCAGAGCTGCCTGCAGAGAGGGAAGGGGACCTGGCATGACACCTGGGGGGTGACTGGAATCTGTACTGGAAGCTCCTGTCTTGGAAATGGGTGTCAGAGAAAAGGCTTTTCGCTTGCAGCCTTGCTGCCTTCACCAGCCTGAAGCACACAACGAAATGAACAGCAGCAAGGCTTCCCTCTAAATGTGGGGCGCGGTGTTGAAGCACCGTTCCAAGAATGATTCCATGTCTGCCATGTCCCACTCAAAGGGCGGGCTGCCCTGGTCATTACTGGTTCATGTCGCCTCATTCTGGTGGATGGCTTGCAGAACTGAATGGAATGGCTCGCTGGGCCTTGGGTTTGGAGTCAGACCATCCCATGGGTTTAGATGTCCCCTTTCATTCATCTACTCAACACGCAGTACAAACCCGTGACTGTGTTTACTGCTTACCATCTGCAAGATCTCAAGCAGACTGTGTAAATCTCTGAGGTTCTCTTATTCATAAAATGTGGACGATGACGGCTGCTTCACCAGGTTGGCAGGTTAACTTATGTGAGAAGAGACACACCCCTTGCATTAAGCTTGGCACATACTGGGTAGGCAGTGAGGGTTTTAAAAATCTTTATATATATGACTACTTAAAAATAAATTCCCAATGACTAAGCTTGTGGAGAAATAAATAAATCATGAGATTTCTCCCTTAACATCTCAAACAGTGGTATTATTTCCCATTTGAAATCCAACAAGCCCCTTTACAGAAGCATCACTTCCTGCTTGTTCTCTTCCGACTTTTGGACTCATGTTTCTTTCATTTTAGGGCAGGAGAAGCAAGTGGAGAAATAACCTATACTAGGTCAACATCAAATTTATCAGTTCAAGAATGTATAAGTGAAAATCACCTCCAAATAATTCTCTTACCCAATTAATGAATATCAAGCAACTTAATTTTAAATCTTCGTATTGGCTGAAATCTTGAGGAAAAATTCAGGTTTTAATATGCATATTAAAATAGGGAGATGTTGCTAAGTGCGACTATCAAACAGTTAAAATGAGGTTCTGGAACAAGACTGTATTGAAGAAGCACTGAAACTTGACTACAAGTCATTTGACTTCTACGTAGTTGTTGACAGTTAAAGCAATTGTACTTGAGAACTCAACACTGCCAACCAGCCTTCTTCATGACTAAAGGCGAACAAAATTAAACTTGATCTGAACAGTTAGAAAATCTCCTCATCCCTACCAGAGTATCTGCAACTCCAATGCATCTATTAGTCAAAAACATCTTTCTAGATATTCAGATTGAAAAATGACCTAATGTATAATATGTGCAAATTCCAGCGAAAGGGCTGATGAAAGACTATCCACCTTACCTGCCTTCTGTCTTATCTTTTTGTGTCTTATTAAATTTCCTTTTCAAATGGGAAGTTGGGGGTGCTGGCAATTTTGGCTAATTTCTCATTTCTGGGATTTTTTTTTTTTTCTCCAAACTTTGCACTAGGGTTCAAACACCACCAACACTTCCTATCAGAATAAAAGCGAACTGCTCCTCTTCTCCGCAGCAGAGACTCAAGGTCAGGATTAAGGATCTGAGGAAATGTCGATCACCCAACACCTGGCAGCTTGGGAGGCCACACTCCAACACACTGACAGCGTACCTGGGCTTAATTTAGGCTTAACTTCTGGAAAGATGCCCAGGAGCAAGGCCACTGGTAGGCAGGTCTTTAAAACTCTTGCTTTTGGTTCAAATTGGGTATAGAGGATAACTGCAGAAAAATGTTCATACTTTAAAAATATTTAGTGTCAGGAAGTTGTACTAATTCTTTTTTTTAACTCAGCAGCCTGAAAGCTTAGATTATCAATTTGTATGAGACTTGGAGATGTATATAGAAAAATAGCTGGAAAGTCTGTCCTGCTCTGCCCAGTGCCATCAAAATGATATTTCTTACTCCTCCAGTGCAAGATCTTATGTTCAGACTGGAAAACAAGTGTACTTTCACTTTAGAGTTTTTTATGCATTTCTAGGGTTACGTTTCACTGAAGTCCTTAGCTATACTTTATAGCACAGTGAACATAAAAGAGGACACAACCAAATTTATACTTAAATTAAGTGGCATGATTTAATTTAGTTTCTGCTTGATCCTGAATCCTCATAAGTTAAAAAAACAAAAGTTATAATTAACCATTAGCGTTAATGAATTTAAACCTTCCAGAAAACATGAATCCAAAAGGAAATGTCCGACAGGTGACATGAGCCACATATTTTATGGCCCTTCCTGTTTCAGTCTCAAACATTCTAAACATCAATGGAAAAAAAAAATTCTCTATTGAGTTTTTCAGTTTTATTCTTCTAGAGCACAATTTTCTGTTACTGAGGATGGTCTTCTAAGAGGTACACAATTAACTCATAGGTAGACAACACAATGGCAGTGTTTGGTATCTGCCGGATGAGCTGGGCAAAGAGTCCTCTATAAAAGGCAAGGTAGCCTTCTTCCCGAAAGACCAGCCGAGCAGTCTGGACAAAAGACTTATACTTGGTGCCCTCCTCCCGGAGCCGCGTCCTTATGACTTCTGCAGAGAGAAAAACATACTTTATGTAACAAATCAACTGCATTTCCAGGCAACACCAGGAGACGACTGAAAGCACGCAGCTTTGTAACTGTCAACGCACACCTCTGCCCGTTTGCCACCCCAGCTCTGTTTGGACAGCATAGTCCCATAGAGACAATAAAAGGTTAAGATCTGTTTAGAACATTTTCTAACTCTAGATAGGACAAAGTATACTTTGTATACTTTATCCATACAAAGTATAAAATAACTTTTAAGGGATTAAAGAAAGCTTAGTTTAAATGGGACTTAATTTTAAGATAGTTTATGGTTTTCTACTCCTGATTAAGCAAACATTGCAATTTCACTGAAGGGGGAATTTGTGTTCAGTAGGACAATATCCTCCATGAGAGTTTATTTTCATATACTCCCCAACTTTCTCCTCCTTCTAGAACCTTCTCCACTCTGTCCAGATTAAACACAGCCTCCTCCTTTTTGAACCTTTGCCCACCTGGCCCTCCCTCGCCCAGGCACCCACAGCATGACACTGTCTGTCACTCCTTGCCATTGCTTGTCAAGCAGACCTCTGTACACGCTTTGGTCTCCCTCCCACAGAAGGCACCCCAAACTCCTCTCCATGACCCCTGAGGAAGCTCAGTGCCCAGCAAAAAATGGGGAATGAATTACCTGTTATTGAGTGCACCACGGGCATTTGTCATAGCTGACAATGCAGTAGACTTTTGAAAAACAAAACTTGTTTTTCGTGACATGATAAACTATTTTTTTTAAATGGTCAGAAGGACATTAAGCTCGTAATTTCTTAAAAAATAAAACCCAAAGTAGCCTTACTCAGTACTACATTCAAAGGGGAAGCTGAGAGACTTTTTTTTTTTAAAGTTTGGCTTCCACGTAATTTTTTTATATTGTGGAATTTTAAATAAAATCCAGATATTTGGCTTCTGTGAAAACATCATGGGGCCTGCATTCTACACAGCAAGTGTTGGCCACTGTCAGCTGAGGCTGAGTGATGCCGAGTCCCCGCGTGCTCAGTTCCTTTACATCTGCAGGCATTTACATCTCATTCGCGCTATGGGTCTAGATATACTGACGAATGACATAAACCTGACGGCTGTCTTAGCAATCTGGGAGAGAAGGCGACACATACCGTGCGGATAAGCGATACAGGAGGCACAGCCCTTAGAAACAGCAGCAGCTGCCATGAGTCCAAAAAAATTCGTGGAATTCTTTTCAGTCCCATTTGTAGAAGGGGCTAAGGGAGCGTCTTTCAGATACTTCTTCAAACCTTCATAAATAGCAAAGCAGATGACAGTTTCTGAAATCCCAGCGTAAG